TAAAACCCTTCAAGATTCTTTAAGTGATATATTATTAGAAATAGTAAATGAGATAGTGACTGAGGCAAAAATATGGAAGCATATATTACTCTGATACCGAAAGAGGATACCGACTTACAACAGATCAAGAACTATAGGCCAATATGATTGCTAAATTCGGACTATAAAATATTTGTATCAATAATGGCTGAAATACTAAAGAGATATTTAAATCAATTTATACATTCAGATCAAAACGGGTTCTTACCTAAGAGGCAAATAAAAGACAATATGAGAATAATTTTAAATACTTTGGAATATTATGAAGCACATCCTGAAAAACAAATGGCATTGATATTCCTAGATGCACAGAAGGCCTTTGACAACATGAACTGGCAATTTATGCTGACTCAGATGGAAGAAATGGGATTTGGAGAAAGGTTTACTAATATGATTAAGACAATATATTATAAACAATACACAAAGTCAGTGGAGAATTGATGGAAAAGGTTCTTATTGAGAAAGGAACAAAGCAAGGGTGTCCATTGTCACCGTTGTTGTTTGTATTAACATTGGAAGTAGTAAATAGAAGTATTAGGGAAGGAAATAAAAGAGATGGAAATAAGAAAAGAGGAGTATAAGTTGCAGGCATTTGCAGATGACTTAGTTTTCATATTAGAAGAGCCTCTAGGAACAGGTCTCAAACTAATAAATAAGATAGAGGAGTATAGTAAAATGGCTGGATTAAAAATAAACAAAGGGAAAACTAAGATATTGGTAAAAATCATGACAGAAAAACAGAAAAAAGAATTGACAAAGAACACAGATATTCAGATAGTAAAGAAAGTTAAGTACTTAGGAATTCAGATGACTGCAAGATGTGGAACTATTAAAGATGATAATTATTATAAACTTAAACAACAAATTAAAGCAGATTTAGAAAAATAGGATAATATGCAGTTATCATTAACAGGAAGAATTGTGGCAATTAAGATGAATATATTACTCAAAGTGTTGTATTTGTTCCAAACAATTCTGATAAAATATTTTGAAGATATCAATAAAATAGTATGGAAATATATATGGCAAGGGAAGAAAGCAAGAATTAATGTTAAAATGTTGCAGGATGTTAGAACTAGAGGAAAATTTGGGCTACCTAATTGGGAAATATACTATCAGGCCATGGCATTAACTTGGATGAAAGAATGGATAACAAAAGGTTATTAACGTTAGAAGAGCATGATTTGCAGATGGGCTGGCATGTGTTTTTGTGGTATGGGAGAAGCACATGGGTATTTTCAAAGGCATATGGTCAGGAATTCATTGTTATTGGGATGGGGGAAAACTAGAGAACATCATTATGTTGTTAATTAACAACATTAGGATGTGGCACAGTAGAGTGCAGTACTACAAGCTACTTCTGCAGCCAGCTGCCTACAATTTGGCAGTTCAAATCCCATCAGGCTCAGGGTTGACTCAGCCTTCCATCCTTCCGAGGTGGGTAAAATGAGTACCAAAATTGTTGGGGGCAATATGCTGACTCTGTAAACCACTTAGAGAGGTCTGTAAAGCACTATAAAGCGGTATATAAGTCTAAGTGCTATTGCTATTATATAAAGATACCAGTCTGGTTGTCAACAATGGAAGCACTCATGGACTTCCGGTTTGTCGGCTTCGTGAGCGGCAGGGATTCGCGAAGCTGCGCGATCCCTGCTGCGCTAGCCGTTTTTGGGGCTCCAATCCGGATGGGTACGGACCTAGGCTGCCCTGCAGGGGCAGCTGAAGGTAGGGGGGATCCGGAGAGGGGTTTGGGGGTGTTGTAGACCCCCTCCCCGGCCGGCAGAACCCCCTTTTCCCAAGACGGTGCAGCGGCGGTCCGTAATGGCCGCCACAAAGAAGCTGGCAGCCGGGTAAGAATGCGCAGGAGGAAGTGGAGAAAGTTTTTCAAAGGAGAAAGTTTTTCTTGGCTCCTAGGACTCTAAGACATATTTAACAAAATTCCTGAAAAGTATGATTTTCTGAATGATACCTTCTAGAAGAGGAAAAAAGCAGCAGTTTGGTGGTGCTGAAAGGAAAGCTTACCCTCTTTTCCTACGGAATAAATAAGTGGATATTAAGAAACCTATTTCTTTTAGGTGAAAACTGGCTTTGAGCGATGAGTGGGAAGAGAGAGGACTAAAAAAAAAATATTTGTATGCTAAGACTTTGTTGGAGGAGATGCCTTAAGGATTTGAAGACTAAAATATATTGCAATAAGATTTTAAGAAACAGATTTGGACTTTCTTTTTCTTTGATTGATACTACCCCAGGAGGAGAAAGTGAGAACTCTGCCTTGGTTTGGACTGATTGATAACTTTGGGACTGTTTTATTTTTTCTTTGGAATATTCTGGTTGTTGTAAGAAGAAAGAAGGGGAAAAGAAAAGATTTATAATGGCTCTTTCTATTGAGGAACTGAGAAAAGATTATGAACAAGCAAAAAAAATGGTAAATCTGGTTTGAAAGAAGCCTTCCTTTTTTTTAGAAATGGCGCTTATTAACTATCAACAAACATTACAACAGATGAAGACAGCAGAAGAAGAAGAAGGAGAGGAAGCCATTTTTATTAAATTTCAGAACTCGACCAAGAAAGAAGGAAGAGTGAAAGGAAGAGAAATAAAGGACTTAAGATTTAAAAAAACACTTAAGAAAGGGAAAAATAAGGTGCAAAATCAATATAATGATAGTAAACAAAAGGGAAAAGGAACACGACAGAGAAGGGAAGCCAGTAAGGCAGAGGCTAGAAGAAGGGGGGGGGGTAGAAAGGTTTGTTGGGAGAAGAAAGAAAGGGAAAAGGTGGAGAAAAGCTACAAAGTTTTGAAATTAAATGGGAAAAAAGGAATCTTTTTTAGGGATAAAGGATAAAGTATAATTTCTTCAAAAAGATTTTGCAAGGTACATAAGATGATATTGTAGTATGGTATTAGAAATAGAAAACTTAAATGGTTTAAGAGTTGATAAGAGATTAAAATGTTGAAATGTTTAATAATGATTGGTTTTAAAATTTAATAATATGATGGGAGGTTTAGAATATTGAGTTTTAATTAAAGAGTTTAATAAGATTATGGTATTGATGTTATTATAAAATTTCTATTATAGTATTTGTTTTTAATATTTAGATTTATTGTTTAACTATGTATTTAATTACTCTGGATGTACTATTTAGATAGAATGTACCAAGCAAAATCGGATTGGGTATTGGGCGTTATTTTAAAGGTTAATTTGATTAATTTAGGGGGGAGATAGAAAGGCATCATACTCTGATTAGTGATTTCAGGAGAAACTTCTTTTTTTTTATAAGGAACGAGACAAAGGGACAATAAAGAATGGACAAAAGATACAAATATAATGACTCAAATTAAGATGATTAATTAAGATAGAATTAAGAAGAGTGAAATGTGTGGAGAAGTTAATATAGAAAGCTTAGAATGGTAAATAAAATAAGTAATGATATGTAAGATGAGCATGAATATAATTGAAGTCCATGAAGAGAGAGATACCTGGGTCCAAGTTACTTTCCAAAAAGATTTTTTTTATGTTTTATGTGTTGTGTGTATATGGTTTTTTTTTGGGAGAATTAATAAAACCTTGCAGAAATATAGAATGAGAATAATGGTAACTAAGTCAGAAAGAAATAGATGAAATAATAATAATGAAATTGAATAAGAGTAAAGAGAAGTAAAGAGAAATTGGACAAGAGGTTTTTGTATGTTTATATGGAAATGGTTTAAAACAGAATTATAGTTTATCTGACTTGTTAAATTTATAATGGAAAAAGGTTTAAACATGTAATGGATAATGATGATTTGTGTGTTTTGAAAATTAATAAAACTTGTTTTTTTAAAAAAAAAAAACAATGGAAGCACTCATATGTTTCAAATGTTTGTAAAATGGGAACTACTGCCAGACATAAAGATATTTTAAATGAAAAGAAAACAAAACAAGAATTGAATGAACAAGGGTTAGAAATGCATTGGTATTTGTATACGCAAATACAATCAAGGTATGAAAAAGTTATCAAAGTCGAAGGGATTAACAAGGAGTCGACAGAATTGGATAAAATATTAACAGGAACAGAAGATAAGATGATTAAAAGATTAATGTCAGGTGGTGCTCCATTCAAAATCCAAGAAAGACACTCTTAGACTCCATTAATGTAGAGAAAAGAACTTTTACTGGAATTCAAGTGGTAGCATCAAAGTAATTCTAGATCTGAGGAATTACGCACGAAAAACACATATACAAAGTGATGGCAACATTCCCACCCACAATAGTTCAAACTGTCCATCCAATCAAAGATGTGCATAATGTCATGTGGGACATCTTCAGGTGGTGATGCAGACATCTGACCATTGACCTTGGCTTATTTTGATAAAGATCTGCAGTTGCGCAGTAAGCAAGCGAGCAAAAACAATAACATTTCCCCCCCAAGTTATACAGTTCATTCTCTAAAACTTCCAGCACATTTCCCACACCCACAAAGCCCAATTATTTCCCCCTCTCCCCATTACTATGGCAGCTGAAAGATGCAAGAGAAAGGAAAGGATTCTTGAAGGCTGACAATTATGTTGCTATTTAATAGGTGTTAAATTAGAAGAAGAACAAGTTAAAGAAACAATGATAGCATGGGCAATTTTTTTTTTGATAAATGGCAGAAGTTATGGAATAGAAACTACAAATTAACAATATCGACAGCATATAAAGAGAACTTATATAAGATGTTCTATAAATGGCACTTAGCACTAGCAAAGCTAGCTAAAATGTTTAAAAATAAATCAGCCAAATGCTGGAAGTGTCATCAAACACCGGGAACATATCATATGTGGTGGACTTGTGCAGAAGCTAAAAGATATTGGACAAAAAACCACACATGGCTGGAAAAAATTATAAAACAACACATAGACTTGAAACCTGAAATATTTTTATTAGGAATGGTACCTGAAGGTTACAGTAAGAAAAAACATATTTAATCATACATGTATTAACAGCAGTTAGAATTGTATTTGCTCAGAATTGGAAAAGTGGTAAGATAACAACAGAGGGAAAAGTAATTGAAAAAATATTTGAATATGCAGAAATCAATAGATTAACATTGGTAATTAGAGAAAAAAAAGAAATGGAATATTATATGGTATGGGCTATATGTGTGTGTGTGTATGTGTGTATAAAAGAAAATTACTGTACTGATAGACAGCCCAAAATCTCTTATATAATTTTTTTCCAATGAGCCACTGGGTATATCAGTATACTTATCCAGAATCAAGTTGATAACTGATTCCCTAATGTTTCTATAGGAGCCCTTGAAGAAATACTCTGGATTCCTGTCCCCCTCCCCATGACCATGTTACTTAGATGAAGACTGGTGTTACAACCACCTTCTGAAGTCTTTCACTTTCCTTTTCAAGCATAGGTACAATTTTTTGCAGCAGAATTCTTCCCTTACTTTACTTTTTCTTCATTTTTACCTAATCTAGATATGCCAAGAAGAAATACAGCCAAGCAATTTAGAAATATATATTTTAGCAAAACATGTAAAACATTTTTGTTAGTTCCTTCATTGCTGCTTCTTTTATTGTTCACATAGAATAAACTCTGCTTACTTTTGAGTTCAGTGCTGAAATGAAAGCAGGGATGCTAAAAACACTTTCATTTTCAGATGAACTATTTAACTATTTAGTCCAACAAATAGGGACAGTTTAACAAAAGCCACTCATTAGTGTGATTAGCAGGAAAATTGCTAGATTGCAGAAAAATTGCATGCAACAATAAATTGAAATTTTGGCAAAGATTGAATGTTCCCAAAAGTGAAATCTTTGTAATAAATTCTAAATGTAAAAATATAGATATTTATGATTTGTATCCAAGTAAATATAATATTGCTTCTAATAATAGGATGTAGCTTATAACCAATTAAAGTGCAGCAAATATCTAATTTCTTCTAATCCATTGCCATTACTTTTTCTGTTAAATGTGTATACATATGTATATGGCTCATCATAAATATCTATATATGTTTAAGCAAACAAAGATGCACACTCAAAACTCCAGGGATCAATGGATTATATTGATTAAACCTTCCCTGAGATGAATCTATTAAACAATCATGAACTGGCATACATAGAGCAACTGCTCTCTGCACCTCTTGTCAAACCACTTTCCCACAGCCACTGCAGACAATGCTGCACAATTTTCTTGCTTCCCTCCATCAGGTTGGGTGGTGATCTCTGTTTCCCAATTCTTATAGCTAATGCTGCTGCTTGTCATGTCCACCCATTTGCCCTCCACTGCCAGGTCATTGATGCCAAGCCAAATTTCCACCTCATTCCCCAGAGTCTTCCTCACATAATCATAGACAGCATCATTTTCGTCACCTGTCTGTGGTGTACTAAGGGTGCCACCCTGGGAAATGCAATCTTCATTGGCCTCATGATAGGACTTAGCATGGGAAAAAGCCAGGATACATTTTAGGTTGATCTTTGTACCTTTCAGACAAACTAATAAGAAATAAGAAAAAAAGAAGGGAAAAACAAGGTATTATAAAAAAGGAATGCCACACGTGACGACTTTTAACCCATCTTTTTATAATCTTAATATTCCTGCCTCCTATTTTCCTCACAACTGCTAGCTGTCTTCATGCTGCTGGGTCAAGAAGCAAATACTGAAGGACTGTTCCATAATAAAAAATTGCATGCCTAGTTTTTTTTCAGGGAAAGTCTGAAAGATAATCATTGGCAAACATTCAAGTGTATAATTGCAGGCAGTAATTTTGCTTGCAAGGAGTTTAAAGTACCTGGCACAGGGAGAGGAATAGATGAAATGTTTAGCAACCTAGATAGTTGGTTATCTAATGTTTGCCATTTTGTTTCAGCAAGAACACTACCCATTTCCCTGCCAACTAGATGGTGATAGCATATGTCCAGTAGATAGGTGCTTTAGACCAGGGGTGTCAAACCCGATTTATATTGAAGGCCACATCAGGGTTGTGTTTGACTTCAGAGGGCTAGGGGTGGTGGTAGGGTGTGGCTGAGGTGGCCATGGTTGGGGTGGGTGTGACCATGGTGGGTATGATCATGGTGGGCGTTTGACACAGGTTCAAGATGCATTTTTCCTCTTTGCATTCAAACAGCTATTCCAGACTCCCTTTGTCTGGAATTTATTTTCTGGCACAAATTCTATTATGTAGAGATTAAAGACATGTAGAGTCCCCAGCTGCTATGGGGCTTGACTCTTTTGTATAGGAGCAGAGCATAAATGAACTGACAATTTTTCTAGATATCTCTAAAAACTGTCTGTCCAACAGTCTATCAATATTTGTTACTATCTCTGACACAGCCCTAGAGGAAGACTTAATATTAGTAACAATTTACAAAATTGATATACCACCCAATTCTCAATGACTCTGGGTGGCTCAAAACAATAAAAAATACAAATCAATCAAAAAACAAAAAGAGACAGATGTCAAAAACATCTGGCTCTTCATCCAGGTCTTTGATGAGAGAGACTGAGCCCCCTCATATCACTGAGTTTGTCAACTTTTATCTTAATCTTTTACCTTGATTTATTTATATTTTTTTATTGTTGTGAGCCACCCAGGGTCATTGAAAACAGTCATCCAGATCTTGGCGGGTACCTAGTTCTAGTTGGCAAATGCTGCTAAAAATGAAGTGAATAAGGTGCTGCCTCCTGAAGTAGCCAAAGTTTGCTAGCCAAAATGGGCAGCAGAGATTGATTTATCTTCTAATGAGCTTCTATTTAGAAAATTATTTGAATACCTTGCTGTATTGGGGCCTAATCAATTTTGACACAACTGTATTTATGTCATTATGTTGCTGCCAAATGATTTAGACACCATATTGGAGGAGAAAAAAGAACAAATGTTAAATGAATCAAATGTGAAACATTAGATCAGTTTCAAGAGGTTTGCATACAATACTTATCTCAGTAGTTCAAAGCTTAGCATCTGGTTCTCCTTATCTGGATTTAGAAGCTATGCAGAGTTAAGCCTAGTTAATATTTCGGTGGAAATATGGGGGGGGGGAAATAACCCAATCTTGGATGGTATCTAGTTCTGTTAGCAGTTGCTGCTAATGAGAAGATGAAGGTTCTGCCTTCTGCAGCACTCTGCCAGCCAAAACGGGCCATCGGGCCCCCCCGAGTGGCTTGTTTTGGCCAGCAGGCACCACGGGTCAGTCCTTTTATATTTCCAGCCCAGCCCCGCGGTCCAGATCTAAGCAGCCCATGGGCTGATCCAGCCCACGGGCCTTGAGTTTGGCACCCCTGCTTTAGACAGTTGTGTTGCATTTCTCTCTTGAACCATTTCTGCAGATGATCACTCAGGGTTTTTTTTTCTGTCCTTTGACTCAGCAGACTTCGTTCATGTTTTCCCTTTTTCCGTTGCTTTGAATAACCAATTAATGCTATGTGAAAAAAGTCTCAGCAACTTTTGCTGTTGGCAGCAAGTCATTTGCTTATTCAAGTTTTTATGACTGACAATTAAGTGATTTGTGGCCTTTAACTGAGACCAGAGAATAATCTAAGTAAAAAAGGACAGTTCTGAATATCAAGTTCTGAGTTCATATCAACATATTGTGGATTTCCTAGAAATTTCATACATGTTGCATAAGCAATGAGGTTGTAGTAACAGAGGGAAAGGGGATGATTATGTATGGTATGTGTATGGTAAGATAGGGAGCGTACTTGAAATTTGCTTGTTTTTGTGTAATTTTTTGCTCTGAGAATTTTCATCTGGTGTGAGATCATTTATTATAATTTTAACCTTTTGGGGAAGAAAAAGTTATAGTAATTTGGTGTTTGTTATTATGACCCCTCTTTTTGTTTCACTCAGTTTCTTTGCCAATTATTTGCCTCTGAACTTCCTAGTTTATTTTATGTGAAATGGGTGCTGAAGTTGAAAACTGAGTTCAAGAATGTTTCAACATTTTGGAACCCACAAACTATCTCTGCTTTATGCTGAATTTTTGAACAAACACTTATGGGTTTTTTCTCTCTAATTAGCTCTAAACAATGCATCAGCCATTTTCAGAAAACATCCATGAATCCACTCTATATAGCAAATATGCCCACTAGTCCAAAAATTTGGGGCCTCCTGGAATAAAATCTGTTTTTTAATTTGTTCCACAATCAATTTTCTGGTCTAAAAAAGTTACAACGGATGGATTTTATACCTGTTTGAAGTGCTTGCTTTTCCTTTAGTAAGGCCACCTCTTGAGAAAGATTCTCTAGTAGCTCTTTAAGGTCTTCAATCATTCTGAGGGTTACAGCATCTATTAAGATAAAGGATAACATCAGTTTGCAAACCTAATAACTACACATTCAAACTGATGAGTAGAATAAGAACTTTCCCCTGTATTGATGATGTAACCTCAAGTGAAAGGAAACAATTATGTGTACTTGTCCTAAATTTGTATACTCATATGTTTTATAAAGCTATCAACTGAAAATATTCCATACCTCAGGAAAACAAAACACAAAATATAACCTTCATTTTACTGCATAGTTTTTTTTAAAGAATGAGCTAAAAACAGCAATCCTAGTTTCTTGCATATGTTCTCTACTCCTTATAACTTTATTTTATCAAAATAATTTACATTTCCCATATGACCACTCCCATTTGGTTTTAATTGTATATTATGCACCATATACAATTATGTAATTTTCTTCTTTCCATTTATGGCACTGTATAACTATAAAACTCAAGATTTTTATGCAAATCAAACCTTGTTTACATGACTTTACTTCTTGTTACCACAAGTTTTAAATCACAATATAACTCCCTTGGGTTTCAAATTACATCTAATCTACTAATGCATAACAGCTAAAGTGGGGTTTACTGTTACATAACTCACAATCTCACAATGAGGGAGAAGTTGGTAGTCTCTAATTAACTAGACTTTCAGGAAACTTCAGCTTCTAATTAACCTTTAAATACTCTAAACAGAATACATATATAGTAACTTAATTGTTTCCAATGGAAGATCAACATCCATAAATAAAAGCTTGTCCACCACAGTGATCTGGAATTTTCTTAGGCATCTTTCTTCATTATGGGCTTGTAGAAGAGTGACTTTTGAAAGAGTATATATAAAAGACAGTTTGGAAATACATTAAATATCCTCAAACCTGACTATTTTGTTTAATGTTATCGTAATAAAGTGATACGGTCAACTAATTTCTGTCTCATGTTGTATTTGAGGTTCAGCATTTACTATGAGAATTAAAAGTACCTTACGAATTAAAAAGAAAGCATATGAGAAGAGTATCAATGCTGATGATTCTTTAGGCACTGGTCAAATTCAGTTTAATAAGCTAGTTATAGTCATTACAATATCAGTCTTGTTTTAAATTGTGTTCTTGTCTCTATATGTAGAACTATTCTAGCATTCTAGTATTTCAGTTTAATTAATGTAATTGCTAATTATTGAATGGTCAGGAAAGTATTCATGAACATCTCCTCTAGAGGTCTGTTGTTCAGTGTACCTCTGCACCAACTCACTATAAATGAATACACTTCTCCCTCAAGTCTTACATGCCATTCCTGATTAATCAAGTAAAGATCTATAAACAAAATAAGCAAACTGTTAGATTGCAGGTGGAGTGAAGACGCAGGACGCTTGGATTATAAAAAAATACTGTTTATTTGCTTCCATACAGGACTGAGGAACTCTAGCCATGGCAGCTCCTTTTAAAGGGAGCTGTCTGCGACTTCAGCCATTGACAGACATTTGCTTTTCCCGCTTCTGCGTTTCAGCCAATCACAGGTTAGTATGCAAATATCTAACACTCTTCCCCACTGGTTCAGAACCCACCTATCCAGGACTCCCTAATGAATGTAGTCCTGTAAATAAGAGGGGCTTTTATGGGTGTGACCTGACCTGCACAGCTCAGTCACCTCTGGGTTCATGGTCTGTTCGGATGGATCTATCATCTCTGGATTCTACTGTTGGAACCTCCTTGAAGACTTCAGTGGGTGCAGCCATCTTGTTTCCACTAGAGGCCGCACTTGCACTCCTTGACCCGGATTGTTCCTCCCTGGCTTCGCTGGCCCCTCGCTGGACTGCAGCTAAGTGATCTTGTTTTTTATTCAGGTTTGGTGTTAGTTGTGGAGGGCTTGCCTCGTTAGTTGTCAGGGCCTGGTCTATTTATGTTCTTTTGAGTTGCATGTTTTCCCTTTCCCCCTTGGGGGTCTGGGAGTTCTGGCTTTCCCCTTGACTGTCTACTCCGGAGTTGATCGATATGTCTCCTCCAGATCCTCCCCTCATTTGTTTCAATCTGGTTTGAACAGGAGGCTGTTATTTGTGTTATTTTGGTGGGTACCCATAGGGGTTCACCTATTTGGTTTCTGGTGTATACCAGGTCTCATGTATGGAATAACTTGCACTTACTTGATGAGTCTAATGGGGTGTCTATATTGTATTGGGTATGCAGTCTATCCAGTTGTGACCATAGCTTCCTCCCCATTAGTAGTTCAGCGGGACTTTTATTTGTTGTCGTGCTGGGTGTGATGTGTTGTATGCTCAATAGTTTGTCAATCTTGGCCTGAGTGTCCCCTGGCCCCATTCTTGCTAATGTCTCTTTCATAGATCTAATCATTCATTCGGCTTGACCATTCATTGAGGGATATCCCGTTGTGGATAGGGCATATCGTATTCCATGGGTTGCTAGGAATCCCTCAAATTGTGTGGGAGTGAACTGTGGCCTATTATCTGATACCACCACATCTGGCAGCCCATGTGTTGTGAACAGTTTCCATAAAACTCTAATAACTGTTTTGGCTGTGGTGGATTTCATAAGGCTGACCTCTAACCATTTGGAATACAGGTCTACAACTATTAAAAACTTGTGCCCTTGCAGTGGTCCTGCAAAATCTATATGTAGCCTAGACCATGGAGCCCTTGGTGTTTCCCACTTATGTATGGGTGCAGTGGGGAGGGTGCTGACTGGGACTCTTGGCAGGCTGTGTATGTTGCCACCCAGGTGCTTATGTCCTTGTCCATCTCCAGCCACCATACATAACTCCTTGCCAAAGACTTCATTTCTACAATCACTGGGTGTCCCGCATGTAGCATTTCTAATACCCCTTCCCTTAATTTCTCTGGAATAACCACCCAATCTCCCTATAAGAAACAATCCTTCATTCCTGACAGTTTGCGTTGGCAGTTTTTGAACAGGTTGAATTTGTCTGCCGTTTCTGTCTCTGGCCATCCCCTCCACACCCAGTTCAAAATCTGCGCCAGGGTTTTGTCCTTCGCACTAGCTCTTGCAATGTCCGGTGCTGTCACTGGCACTGTTGCAAGAGTCTCTATTAGTAGCATGGACGTGGATGGTGCTGGGTCTTCTAGGTCTGGCAGGGGGCATCAGCTGAGTGCGTTGGTGTGGTCGATTTTCTTTCTGGGTCTGTATATTAGTTCATAGTTATATGCTGCAAGGAATTCCGTCCATCTGGTCATCCTTGGTGACAGGATGTTTGGTGTCACCCAGTCTCCTGTGATAATCCCCAGTAAGGGCTTGTGATCTGTGACCAGGGTGAATCTCCTTCCGTACACATATCTATGGAAACATTTAATCCCTGTCGTGGCAGCCAACGCTTCCTTGTCAGGTTGGCTGTAGTTGGTTTGGATAATGTCTTTGAATAAAAGGCTATGGGAGATTCTTTTCCATCCAGAAGTGTGTGGTTGAGTATTGCACCTACTATGAATGATGATGCGTTGCAAGTTAACATCAATGGAAGGGTCTCACTGTTTTGGATTAATACACTGTCTGATGTTAAAAGTCTTTTGATCTCTTTAAAAGCTGCTTCTTCCTTATGCCCCCATACCCAGGCTGCTTTTTTGTCAAGCAGTCTGTGTAATGATTCTGCGATCGTCACATTCTGCAGTAGAAATATATTATAAAAATTAAGAAATCCCAGGAATGCCTGCAGATCAGTTTTATTTTTTGGTGTGGGTGCTTCTTTGATTGCTTTTAACTTTCCCTCAGTGGGGTGTATGCCGGAACTGTCAATCCAGTACCCCAAAAACTCCACCTTTTTTGCTGCTAGCTGACACTTCTCCTTTTTTACTTTCAGCCCCACCTTATGGAAGTGGCTCAGAACTGCCCTTAATCGTTTCTGTAATTGGTCTGTGTCCTTGGCTGATATCAGGACATTGTCAAAATAGGGCACCACGCCCTCTAATCCTTGCAGGAGGTGCTCCATTAGGCTCTGAAAGAGCTTACTCCAAACTGAAAGAGCTTACTCCAAACTGTAACCATTTGCATTTGAATGCCCCCCTATGTGTGACTATTGTTTGGGCTTCCACCGTTTCTTCATCTACTGGTAATTGTTGGTAGGCTTGGTGAGGTCAAGCTTGGCAAATATTCTTCCTCACCCCAGGGAATGTAAAAGGTGTTGTACCACCGGGACGGGGTATGCGCTTTGCTGTAATGCGCAGTTCAAGGTGACCTTATAGTCAGCACAGATGAGCACCGACCCATCTGGCTTAACTGGGGTGGCTATTGGGATCTCCCATTTGGCGTGGTTGGTTGGTTCCAAGATCCCCTGGGCAATGAGCTTATCCAAATGCTCATCAATCTTGGGCCACAGAGCAAATGGGACCTGCTTCAGACAGGGGCAATGCTGGGGTCTAAGTTAAATGAAATAAGGGTCCCCAAGCACTTGCCTAATTGTCCATTGAAGACGTCTCAGAATTCTTCAATGAGGCTGTCTTCCCACTCTGCTTCGGTGATGCAATTTATTCCTGTGACCTCTATCCCCAATGGTTGGAACCATTCAAGCCCCAGCAGGCTGGGTCTGTCCCAGTCTACTACGATCAATGGTAGGTTTCTGGAGAAATTCTTGAATTTTATTTGGAACTTGCCAACCCCAATGATAGGAATATGATTCCCTTGGTAGTCCTTTAGGATTAGTTCTGCAGTTTGAGTTTGGCTTTGGTTATGTTAGGGATTAATTTCTGAATGATCGCCCAGGAAACCATGTATAGTTATGACTCAGAGTCTAGCTCCATTTAACAGGACTTCCCTTCGATGTTTATTTTTATGTGTACCTTTCATGCATTGGTTGTGCTGGAATGGCCCACAGTCATCGTCTGGTGCGTTTCTCCTCTCTCAGCTGCTGGCTCTTCGCTCCTTCTGTTCTGGCTGTAGTTATTTCTCAGGCTTCCAGTATGGCTTGCCCTGGTTCATGGTGGTGAATTTGGAGGCTTCTGGCATTGGCTGATTGGCTGGGATGCCCTGTAGGCTCTTGCTATATGTCACTTTCAGTTGCATCTCTGGTAGATCACGTCCTAGAACTGGCATTCTGACCGTGGGTGGTTTCCCTCGCATCTGGCACACCAGAAGTTTTTTCTTCCTTTCTCTTGGTTCTTTGGGGTTCTCTCTGGCTGTAGTTGGTGGATTTCTTCGTTCTTCTCTGAATCCGGTTCTGATTTGACATCTTCGTGGTGTATGGAGGCCATTTCTTTTGGTGGTTGCTGCCTGTTCATCATTTTTATTGCCATGGCAGTTTATTGTGAGGCTTCAGTGGTGGAGGCTTCCTCCAGAGCTTCTTTTCAGATTATTTTTGGCTTACCAAGTAATCAGCTCAGGAGGTTTAGATTTCGGAGTCCCAGGACCAGGCGATCCCTCATTGCCTTGTCCACATTCAGGAATTCACAAGCGGCGGCGATTTCTCGTAGCTTGGCCATGAAATCACTGATGGTTTCTCCTTCTTTCTGTTCCCATCTGTAGAATTCATGTCATCGCACTAGGGACAATCCTTGCGGAGTGTAGTGTGCCCTCAGGATTCATTCCAGGTCTGGCCAGGCCATTGTCTTAATTTCATTGGATGTCGATAGTGCTTTGGCCATTTTGAATACCATGGGCCCTCAGTGTGTTAAGAAGATGGCTCATTTCCTCTGTTCCGAAATATTGAGATTGTTCGCTTCCAGGAACATTTGGAAATGGTCTATGTAGGAATCGCAGTCTTCCCCTGCCAGGTTGAAAGGTGCTGGGGAGATATTTGATTCTGACATCTTGCTGGCCAGTTTGTTGAGTAATGGTCAGTGATGCCACATGGTCACTGGATGAGCTGGTCCTTTGTTGCTTCAGGATCACACCCTCGTCACCAGTGTTATATCGCGGGCGGAGTGAAGATGCTGGATGCTCGTATCAGTAATACTGTTTATTGGCTTCTGTACAGGACTGAGAAATTCTAGCCATGGCAACTCCTTTTAAAGGGATCTGTCCAGTTTCAGCCATTGACAGATGTTTGCTTTTCCTGCTTCTGTGGTCCAGCCAATCACAGGTTAGTATGCAAATATCTAACACAAACTACAGCCCTAGAATCTATTTCTGACACTCTGGAAACTCATCCAAATACACCACCAAATTCCAGTGCTCAATCACCTAATATAGTAGCTTCGCTTTTGGATGTATTGAAGAGTGGGATATGCAAAACTGAAGAAGTTTTGCTATGCCCTATCCATTCCATTCTCAAATCACTTGCAACACACTTCAAAGTGAACCATGTTTCTATACCAGGTATTTTTGATACCATATCCCATCTAATTAAGATTTTAAAATCTTAATGTAAACACCTCTTCTAACAATAATTTTCTTTACTTAAAAACAGTTTAACTGATTTTCTGTCTAAGATTTCATTTCCACTCAGGATTGCCAAAAATGGTCAACATGTGATCATGTCAATTTGGGATACAACTGAATTCTCCAATGAACAAAAGGTTGGAACTATATTATTTATTTTATTGTTTGGGAAAAGAGCTTTAGAAATCGCATTTAAATTTTATAGTCCATTAGGAAGTATTCAATCGTGTTCATATACCTACTTGTCAATAAATCCCAAGAATTTTAGTTTCCTCAAATCAATAAAAAATATATTTTAGCCATGCAAAAATTCTCTAAGCAACATCCACATTACTAACATTATACAACATATCCAAGTTATATAGAAAAAAACAAAGAAGTTAACTAGCCTCATTTGAGAAACAAAGAAAATAATGTATTTTTAAGTTACTAAAAACTCTTTGGAATTTCCTAAAAGTTAAAAATTAGAATACAATATGGTTTATGTTTTTGGCTTTCTTTACTTAATAAAACAGAATAGGAAAAAAAAACTAAAATAGTGAAGAGAAAAGAATAAGAAAGCAATATAACCATCTTATGTGCATATATACTGTATAAAAAATAATATATGACCGTTTCATTAAAGGATCTTCTTAAAATCTCACTAAGCCTAACATTCTTTATCCACAGCTAAAATAGTGTAAGAGTAATGTTTATTTATTGCACATTTATATTATTGCAATCCAATCAAATTATCTATTTGCTTGCATTACAGCAACCATGTTAATCTGTAATCTAATCTGTAAAAATTATCAGACTGTAAACAATAGACATGTGGTATGCATCACTCCTCAGGAACAAGCACTGCAGACACAGATCTTATTCTTTTGCTACATCAAATACATTAAATAGGTCTTTGCTTGATTGCATTAAAGACAGATTTGCATATGGAAGAATCTGAATTTCATTTATTTTCAAGCAGATATAATAAATCATTTTTATTCTACCCAATAACCATAGTTCAGTATATTGTAACTTGATTACAATTAGCTGCAATTTTAATCTATATTTGCTACAATACACGCGTGCGCACACACAACTAAATGTTGCAAAACAAAAAGATCACAATGTAACAGACACTTCTTGGCTTCTTACCTTTTCTTGATTCTGGCTTTTTCTTGGTTCTGGTGTTCTGTTGAGCTGTTATCTGTGTCACACAAAGAACACAGACCAGAACACAAATTCCTCGGAATGGCATTTTGCTGCTGTTGCCCTCAAAGAGATTGGAACAAAACTGGATTTGGTCTGCCTAGAGTCAAGCTTTTTAACATGGCGTTAACTAAAATGTCTGGCCAAGAATCAGTTCCAATTTCTTCTGTAATGTTCCAATGATTAGAGGTTATTTTGCAGATTTCTGGTAGGGATCCAATTCTCAAAGCATTCCAACTAAGCAGGAAGGGATGTATATGTGGAAACAGGATGCTTCTTTACTTTGCTGGGCTTTTTTAAAATTTGCAAATTAAAACCAAGACTGACAAGATTTATTTCCACTATTTCACAGTCCCAATACAGTGCCTCTGCCGATCTTTTAACCAGCCATTGTAGCTGGTTTTTTATGAACAAATCAACATACATTTATTTTGTATTAAAATTTATGACTCAATTTCCCTGTTCAGTAGAGGCATTCAGGCTAGCAAAATTCAGTGAACAACTGAAATGAAAACAAAGTTAAAAATGAAATAATCAAGCATAAATAATTTAAAACAAGTTCCACAGTCCTCTGGCATCTTAAGGCTGTTCTTCATTACCATGTTAATTTGGATTCTTCTCCTCCTTGAATTGACAGAAGCTATGTGTAAGGACCAACCTCTTCCCCCCTTCAAAACAAGTATAGACTATTGAAAACTTTGTATTTTAAAAAAACCCCTTTTTATTGAAAAGGGGTGAAAGCAAGTCAAAATTCAAAGCAGGCTCTAGATCCCTCAGGGAATACAATTAGGATATAAGAAATTAAAACCCCCTCCCAACAGTCCGATGTGGATTCCACCAATCCGCAGGTGTGAAGATGTTATTCTACCGGCATCTCTGAGAAAGCAGATAAGAAAGGTTTCTCAGGGCTATCTTTCAGCATTGCAATCCATATGGTTCCTTCCTCCCCTTGTATTCCTCCAAGTGGTGAGAATTTTCCAGGCATTTGAGGCACCAGGCAACGGTTATAAATCAGGTAAAAGGTTATGCAAAAGACAAGGCAAGAAATGGGATATGTAGGATAGAGAGAGAGGAAAAAGAACTAATGTATCAAATCCAACCCCCCACCTTCTTCCACCGAACAATGGCAGATACCCGGATCTGCCACTATGCATCAATTGTGCTGCCCAAAAACCAATGTCTGTTTTGCCTCAAGGACAAGACTGGTGCTGTTCTTATAGTTTTAATGAATGACGGTTTAAACACAATTTACAAGCTTTATGGATTCCTCTGTACAGCTATTAACATTGTATTAACATTGGTGGAGTAACTTGGGTGATTCTGGGCATGTTCCCAGGATAGCTTTAGATACCTTTTAAGTAGCCTGAATGTTAGGTCACCAATGCATGTAACTGTCACTTTAGGGCTTTTTGAAACTGAATTTGCAAGCTTCTGGAAGACTACTAGTCCTATGGGATTTAAACACATGAATACTACTCATTTGGAAAGATACAAACTTGTATCCGTAAAGTAGCCCAATTGACAGGAGAGAGATGTGTGGCAGAAGACCCTAATTTGAAAGAAAAGGTTCACTCTGCCATGCATGAGTCTCCACAATTGGGTGTAATAGGTTGGGTAAATCAAGAGAGAACAATTATAAAGTGTTGCAAGAGAGTGGTAGTATTTGGAGTACAAAAGGTCACAATCAACAGTACCTTAATCAATTCATGCCCTTCAAATGCACTTGTGATCTGTCACTCAAACTAAAAAGCATTTTCCATTATAACTTCCCTAGTAGAAACTGCAAAGGAGGAGCAGTCATAATAACACCAATCTCAGCCAATAGCACTCTGAACGGAATGGGATAACTTGCTGCAGTCCACCTGCCATGACCAACTTGCCATGGCGAACACACTGCAAGCCAGCTCACTGTGCCTAACTCACCACAAGCCAACTCACCACTTGGCAATTCAAAAATTAAATTATCTAAAATAGTGGTTCCCAAAGTGGGCAGTACTGCCCCCTGGGGGGCAGTGGGATGCCTTGGTGGGGTCCTAAGAGGCAAGGGGGCTGGCAGAGGGGTGTTAAGAGGTGGCAGGGGGGCGTTCGAGGCGTTGGCCCTGCAGGTTCACCTATTGACTGTAGTAACACTCCAGAGCCGGCACCTCCAGTACAGAAGCAGTGGCATGTTATGTGCCGCTGCGGCCGCATTTGACATGCCGCCCCCCCTGCCACCTCTTAGCATCCCCAAGGGGCTGGCAGAGGGGCGTTAAGAGGCAGCAGGGGGGCATTCGAAGCGCTGGCCGGTCCTGCAGTTTCACCCATTGAGGCGCTAGCTCTGGAGCGATGCTAGTCAATGGGTGAACCTGCAGGGCCGGCGTCTCGAACGCCCCCCTGCCGCCTCTTAGCATCCCCAAGGGAGGCAGCGGAAGGGCGCTAAGAGGCGGCAGGGGGGGCAGTGTGTCGAACGCGGCTGCAGCGGCACATAATGTGCCACTGCTTCCGCATTGGAGGAGCTGGCTCCGGAGCAGTGCTAGTCAATGGGTGAAACTGCAGGGCTGGCCAGCGCCTCGAACGCCCCCCTGCTGCCTCTTAGCACCTTTCCGCCAGCCCCCTTGGGGACGCTAAGAGGCAGCAGGGGGACGTTTGAGGCGCCGGCTGGCCCTACAGGTTCACCCATTGACTAGCACCGCTCTGGAGCCAGCGCCTCCAATGCGGCAGCACATTGGGAAAAGCCGCCGCCACCATTTCCCCGAAGTATCGCTGCTGTCGCATTGTCTGTCCGTCCGTCCGTCCATCCATCCATCCATCCATCAATCCAAAAGCTTTCTTCCTGCCTGTCTCTCTCTCTCTATCCATCTATCCATCCATGTTCGAAGCTCCAGCAGGCACTTCGGGAAAGTAGAACAAAGCCAATTTGAGAGGGAGGGAGAGAGAGAGAGAGAGAGAGAAAGATTGCATCAGATTGAATGAGGCCTAGTTTAGACTGAGGCCCTTTTCCACATTGAAACATCTTTGGCTTCTATTAAAGGTTTTGTGGACGAAACATGGTCAATACTATCAGGAAGCTCTCACATTTTGTTGAGGCTTTAAACAGGATCTATTGGACCAGATCTCCACCCTAAAAATTACTTTTCCCCAATGTATTACAGTGTCAATTCTGAAGAAGGCAAAACCAAAATGTACTGGTAAATTACAAAGAGAAAACACACACACACACACACACACACACACACACACTTTCTCTCTCTCCCTTCTAACCCTGCTGGAGAAGGTGATTGGACTAGAATAGATATCTCATTATTTTTCTCCTCCCTCTCTCCCTCTCTCCCTCCTTCTTTATTTCTTTTTCTTTCTGTCCCTTCCTTCCATCCCCCCTTCTTTGTCACTTTTTCTTTCTTTCTCTTTTCTCTTTCTTTTCTTCCTCTCTTTCTCTCTCTCTCTTTCTTTTCTCTCTCTCTTTCCCTCTCTCAGGCTCACCCCTTTAGATCAGGGGTCGCCAAAGTTTTGGACCTCAGGGACCACCAAACTCATAATTTTAAATCCCAGAGACCACTATATGAATTTTAACTGATGGTGGCTTTCTGGCGTTGGTGGGAGAGAGATCTGATCCAACCTCTCTCTCTCCCTCTCTCTCACACACACAGGCAGGGGTGGGATTTAGACCCCTGATCTAAAGCTGTCAAAACTGCAAAACAGGTCTAGTAGCTCTGGGGAGGCCAGTCATAAATTAGAACACTTGCTAAACAACCGGCCATTAAGTGAGGATCACTTGTATTTGGTTTGCCAGTCACCTGGCCACGCCCACCCAGTCACATGACCAGCAAGCCATACCCACCCAGTCATGTGACCAGCAAGCCACACCCTCAAATTAGGCCATGCCCACAGAAATTTGAATCCCACCCCTGGGTGGGGGGCACCGAAGATGAGTTTGTAGCACCAAGGGGGCGATGGACCGAAAAAGTTTGGGAACCACTGATTTTAAATAATAATTAAAAAAATAGTTTTTGTTATTCACATTTCATTTTGTCCCTCCTTTGGCACCATTTCTTTAAGGATTCTACTATTCCATCATTTCTTCTACAGTATATTAGTTTCTTGTCATGCAGCGAGTCATTTTGCAACTATTGGCCACAGTGAGTTGGCTGTGGTGAATTGACCATGGCAAGTTGTCCTAGACACATGATAATTTGTGTAGACTTCTGAGAATTACATGGATCAAACCAAGAAAACAAACAATGGATCATAGAACAAATCAATCCAGAATTTTCCTTTAAAACATAAATATTCTAGTTCAATTTAATTTCCTTTGGACATTGACAAAGATCTCTGGAGAAGTCTATGCAGGTAAATGTGGAAAGAAAAAGAAGAGGACAACTAGTAGCAAGATGGTTAATTTGATTATAATGGCAATGGGCATAAAGGGCTAGGTTGGGGACAGCTCATCCTAGAGAAAGTCTACGTGGGCATTAAAAGTCAATACCAACTTGAAATAACACAATCAGTAATCAATTAGTATATCAAAATACATATAAAACTATATTAACATAAAAAATATACAGATATATCTCGCTTGAAATGATCATTTATGTTCTACCATACCCAGTATACAGAAGGTGGCTAAACTACCTTCTTCATTTCCTGATCAGTAGAATGAGGTTAAGATAGCCCTGCCTAAATATCATGATATAGGAACTAAATGTAGCATATATCTCTATAGAAGAAGCAGCATGATCCAATTTGATTTCTCCCTTACCACGTGGGTAAACATTCTGTTGTTCTGGAATGTTGCAAAACCTGCCTTCCAAAGAAGCAGAGTTCTTCCAATATTTTTGGAAACAGTATCAAATAATGGGTAAGTGTAATAATTTTCTTTCTTATAGTCTCACTGGTATTATATATGTGGCTTGTTGCTTAAAGAATGATTCCATCTTCACATATAAACCTTTTGAAATTTGTTGCCATAAGAGTTTACAGTACCATAACTTACTTTCTTTCTCTTTCTTTCTGTCCCTTCCTTCCGTCCCACCTCTTTGTCTATCCCTTTTCTTCCCTTCTCTTTTTTTCTTTCTTGTCTCTTCCTTCTCTGTCTTCCTCTTTCCCCTTCGCTTTTCCCCCTCTCCCCCTTTCCCTTTCTCTCTCTTCCCCCTCCCCTCTTTCCCTCTTTCTTGCTCCTTTCTTTTTCTCCCTTTCTTTCTTGCTTTCTTTTTCTCCTTTCCTTTCTTTCTTGCTCTTTTTTCTCTTTCTCTCCCTTCCTCTTTCTTTTTCTCCCTTCCTTTCTTTTTCTCCCTTTCTTTCTTTCTTTCTTTCTTTCTTTCTTTCTTTCTTTCTTTCTTTCTTTCTTTCTTTCTTTCTTTCTTTCTTTCTTTCTTTCTTTCTTTTCTTTTCTTTTCTTTTCTTTTCTTTTCTTTCCTTCTCTCTCTGTCTCTCTCTGTCAAACACACTCACCTGGGATGGCCTCGTAAGCAGCAGTGGCAGCGGCAACCTCCCATAAACAGCGGCCTCCCATAAGCAGAGGCGGCGGCGGCCTTCCTTAAGCGGCGGCAATGCTTTGAGCACCCCCCAGGCACCAGCCCTTCCAAAACACTTCCATGGGTGGCAGAGGCGGTGGACCTGGCTCTGGCTGCTTCCTGTATGTGGTAGTGGTGGCGCCCTCCTGTAAGCAGTGCCCTCCTGTAAGCAATGGCGGCGCCCTCCCATAAGCAGCACTCTCCCATAAGCGGTGGTGGCGCTTTGAGCACTCCCCGGCCCTCCCAAAACACCTCCATGGGTGGCAGAGGCAGCAGACCTGGCTCTGGCTGCCTCCCATAAGCAGGGCCATTGCTGCAACGCCTCCGCCGCCTCTGCCCGCTTCCTTTCATTTTGGCCCCAGGAGAAATGGGCGGAAGTGGCAGAGGTGCTGCAGTGACAGCCCTGCTTACAGGAGGCAGTTGGGTCCGTCGCCCTACTGGTCGGAGCACCGCAGCTGCAGCTTGCTATGCCACAGCCACCATGTGATAGGGAGAGCTGGGAGAGTGTCACGTGGTGGCTTAGCCAGCCAGCTGAGCCTGGGGATGGTGGGGCAGGTAGGTAGGCCCCAGCCAGCACCACCAGCGGGATGGGGCCACGTTGGTGGGGAAGCCAGCCAGCCAAGCCCAGGGATGGGGCGGGGGCAGATAGGTAGGCTGGCCAAGGCCTGGAAGTCCTGGAAATGGCTGGGCAAGGCCTGGGGAGCACCAGAGATGGCTGGGCAAGGCTCAGGGAGCCTCAGAGATGGCTGGGCAAGGCTCGAGGAGGCCCGGGGACAGTGGGGGAAGGGCTAGCATAACTTGCAGGCTTCCTTGTGAGCAGGCAGATCAAATCAGCTGGGAGAAACAGTGGAGAGGCTTGTGTCGGCTCCGGGCTGCTTCTCTCACCTGCTCTTGTTGGGAGAGCCTCTCCCGGCAGAGCGAAAAGCTTGCAAGTCCCCCTCCCTTTGGGAAATGCCTCCTGGGCAGCAGAGAGAAACAGGATTCAACCGGGCTGCTTCTCTGCTGCACAGGAGCCATTTTGCGAAGGGAGGGGGACTTGCAAACTTTTTGCTTTGCCGCAGCAAAAGGCAGGCAGCAATGGCTGGCCTGGCAGCTGGGCAAAAGCAGGCTGCAGGCATGTTGTGCGTGCACATGATGTTGTGCATGTGCGATAGGGACTGACTGGGCAGGGAGCGGGGAAGCGGGCAGAGAGGGGCAGGGCCAGCCAGAGGCCCGATTTACCGGTTCTCCGAACTACCGGGAACCATAACAACCAGTTCTACTGAACTGGTGCAAACCGGTAGAATCCCACCCCTGACCGTAATTGCTTTAAAACTAAAACCTGGACATTTTTTTTAAAGAAAAGGATGGTCATCTCCACTGGCCCTTATGTGTAGCCTTTCAGAGGTATGTCGTCCTAATTAAGATTCTGACTTAAAGCAAAATATTTTAACTATTGGGAAGGATATTTTGTTTTCTCTTAAGTTTTAGTGAACTACTGAATTTCTGGGCTTACGTATAAGACAAGTGAAATTAAATATTTATAGAACAAAGGCTGAGCTTTTTGCTTGACAGATGTTTCTGTTTATTGCTGTACTGGATACATGACAATGAAAACGTGGCACAGCCACACATGGAAATTTCCACTAACCATAATTGCAACAGCTGCTATGGTAAACAAGCCATTATGGGTCAGACAATAATTTCAGTTCTATGAACAGGAAATTTGGAGAAACACACCCATTATTTTTGTTAGATAGACCAGAATATTCACTCTGAAGCATTCAAATCTGTGTTAAGGTCTTCAACATCAGTCCACTTGTCCATACAGCATTTGGTTAGATTTTAGAAAATCTAGGGCTAACAAGAATAGATCCTATGAGCATGCATGTCTGTTATTCTATTTGTGTTCCACCCACCACATATCCCTGGGTCAAAATGAGGTTAGGTAATGCAGATTCAAGAATTGAATATATTTGCCATATTATTAAAAGTATTGATATATTCAGTGTCAATTTCAAAAATGAAAAATAACATAAAATAAGAACAGAATAAAAGCAATCAATAAAAAAAATTGGAAGGCAAATATAAAACAAAAATTATACCATATAAAACAATGTTAGAATCTGAAATTGAATAAGAAAAACATGTACTCAAAAGGGCAAGGATACTAAATATATCATGTGGACAGATCTGTGCAGAAACTGTTGACAAAGACTTGGACTTTATAGAAAGTAAAATGAAATGGCGTTTGTACATTTTTGTGGAGTTGGACTATAATTTTTTCTGTTTTGTTGTAAACATTTAAGATCCCTTAACACAAGTGTACATGAGTAATCCTTTCTTTATTTAAAATATATTTGATTTTGTAGAAACAAACAAACCAATAAACACACACTTTTAAGTAAAAATTCAATTGATTGAAACTGATGATGGCAACTCATCCCAAAAATCCAACTTTTTTTCGTGCTGTTCCGAGACTCTCTTCTTTATCTAAGATAGCTTGCAAGGATGTGTGCAGCAATTTGCCTACTCTCTTTCCAGTCTAGAATACAAATGAAAAATAAACTATATAAAACAACACAAATGAATTAAAAGAAGCAAAATTCACTAGGTTTCTCTTTATATATTCATAGCCAAGGTATGCTATTCTATTGAAATTAATTCATTGGAATAAAATATAAAATGGGAAAAAATTATAAACTAAATTATGTTTGTAAGAGCCATCCCTAATCACTTTTCATTCAATAGGTAGTTCTTGACTGACAACCACAATTGAGATTGAATTTCTGTTGGAAGTCACTGAAGTTGTTGAGTTGAATTTTACAATTTTTACAGCAATCATTAAGCAAATTACAGCAGTCTTTAAATTAATCAATAGGTTAGCAAATGAATCCAGTTTCCCCAATTAGTGTTTCTGCCAGAAACTTGCAAAAAAGATCATGTGACTATGGGACATTCCATCGGTCATAAATATGAGCCAGTTGCTAAGTGGCTGAATTGCGATCATGTGATTGCACAGCCTGGTGCAATGGTCGTAAGTGTGAATACAGGTAATGTCACTTTTTCCAAGGACATCATAACTTTAAATTGTTGTCAAATAGTTGTAAGTTTATATGCAAAATTTATATGCATATAAATTCAGCATCTATGTGCAGAATTTCTTTACATCCATTTAAGCATATTGCTTAATACGGGGGTAGGCTTAGATCCTCATTTATTATTTTGTGAAACAAAATGCTATCCTTCAAAATGCTGAAAGACATATTGTCTGGTCTACAGCTGATGAAAATTTTTGCCATAAGCCAGAAAGGAAGAATATAAGGAAAAGATATATTAGAATAATGTCATAAACTATCTTAAATTCCCATTAGAGCAGTGTTTTTCAAACTTGGAAATTTTTAAATAGCTGAGGCTGGGAGTTGAATTCCACCCATCTTAATATTGCCAAGTTTGAAAAATACCGCACTAGAAAAAGCTGTTATTTTGTAACAGTATTCCAAACCTCTTGATTTGCACATGATTTGTGAAGAAGATAAAAAAAATAGAGGTTATAGGATCAAGGGGTACAGCAATAGGATTATGCTAATACTGCATGAAAAGTAACAATAATTCCTCTTCTATATAATGTAAGTATCTTAGAAAATAGGCAAAAATGATAAAAATACAGTAAAAAGTATAGAAATTTAGTGCCACTATAAATAAAAGCTGGCATGAAGTTTATATGCTAAATGTTTCTAAGCATATGGGATTTATTAAAAAAGTGAAGTTATGTTTGCCTCAGGGCCAGTAGAGTCCAATGCTCCACTTGACTGAATGATGAAGCAGTTACAAACTGGTTTCTTTTTTTTACACTTCTTGTGACAATCAGAACAATATCCTTTCTAATTAATTTTATTACTTATTTATTTGTTTATTTATTTGATTTTTATCCCACATTTATAATTTTTATAAAAAACTCAAGGCAGATTGTTCCTGATTCTTAAATGCATTATTTCAAAGAACAATGAGAATTACTGATAACATTTTACTCTAAATGTTGTTTAAATGAGAGTGAACAATGATAACTGTAACAATCAGTGAACAATGATAACTGTGAACAATGATAACTATAGATTGCTTTTCATTATATAAAAAGTGCATGCAAATGTAAGCATTTTTTAAAATTAGATTTTAAAATAACATAGAGTGGTTGTTTCAATTTTTAAGATTTACTTCTGATTTTTTTTTCAGAATTCTCATTGTAATTTTAAATCTAATCATCTGTCCAGTGCTTGCTTACCTCCATCATCTCAAAAATGCTCTCTGGGTCAAGGCTCCCTCTTCCCACTTTTTTCATGCAAGTGATAACACCCTGACTTGTTATAGAAATAAGGAGGCTAGCCAAGGAACATGCTTCTTCCTGAAGAGTGGTGTCGACCACATGCTTATAGCCAATCTGGAAACAAAAGCATATATACTATATCTGTATTGAACTGTTGAGGCATTAGGTCAAGTTCTAATGAAGGCTGGGAGTAAAATTATAAATATAGAGTTGACAAATAAAAAGAAATTTCCTACTCATTTTGGGATCAACAAACAATACATTCCCAAGAATATGCAATATTTCTTACAACACCAAAGTATTAATATAATCTATTTGAGAGTCTGCTTGCCACTGTGATTAAGCTGCTGGACTAGAAGTGAGGAAACATGAAGTCTAATATTGCATTAAGCATAAAAGCCAACTGAATGATCTTGGGTTAATCACTCACTCTCAACTCTCAGAAGTTGAAAGAGGAATTTTAAGAGTTTCATAAGCATACATTCTGCATTTCTGCATAACTAATTTTACGTTATAACATATCTAAATGTTCATAAACAATCTGCTTCCCAAAGATGTTTAAGGAAGGAACAAACAAATTCAAGACTAAAAAGGAAATTTCTCTACTTGAGGAAGAAATAAGAACAAAATATCTTGTATATGGTTTCCAAGAACTTTCCAAGGCTGTGGTCACATAAAACACAAGTCAAATTTTCTGCATAACTTTCAGTTTAAAATAAGCATCAAAAGAAAAGTTCTGAATTTTTAAGACTTACTTTGCTTAAGGTAACAATACAAGGAATGTTATAAACACTGAGTCGAATACAGTCAAAAGGATCATCAGACAGTTCAATTTCATGTCCTCTTTCATCCTCCAAAACACGTACTTTGGGGATCCTAAAGAAAACAGAAATGACCATTGGACAATGTGACATCCCTGTATATTTTGTTAAAGTAGGACCCAACTCCCAACCAAATGTAAGCAAATGTAAGCAATAAGCAAGGAAATTACAATTGCTTTTGTGTTTAACTATATAACCGAACCATTACATAAAGTGGTGAACATGCCACTTTACAATTTATTATTCTTCCTGTGAAAAGTGCAGATACAGATTCCATATTACCTATCTGTACTTTGGTACATATGATACTTTTGGATGTCCCAAACATACAGGATAACAATAAACATATAGGTTTATTATAACCTATGTTAGCATTGAACTAGCATTAACTTGTTATTGGATAACTAATTCCATGTGTTGGAGAGCTAACATAAAATACTACTGCTGATAATTGATCATTAATTAGTGATGTGTGAATAGGCCCAATGACAATATCACATTTGCTTTTTATGAATAAAGAAAACATATATGACAATATCATATGACATCAAAATGTGTTAACACATTCCTAGAAATATCTTATTTATAGCAATGCTGCAAATACAGCTCTAATCCTCAAAAAAATAAAGGGAACACTTAAACAACACAATGTAATCAAGTCAATCACACTTCTGTGAAATCAAACTGTCCACTTAGGTAGCAACACTGATTGACAATCAATTTCACATGCTGTTGTGCAAATGGAATAGACAACAGGTGGAAAGCATAGGCAGTTAGCAAGACATCCCCAATAAAGGAGTGGTTCTTCAGGTGGTGATCACAGACCGCTTCTCAGTTCCTATGCTTTCTGGCTGATGGTTTGGTCACCTTTGAATGCTGGCGGCGCTTTCACTCTAGTGGTAGCATGAGACGGAGTCTACAACCCACACAAATGGCTCAGGTAGTGCAGCTCATCCCGGATGGCACATCAATGCGAGCTGTGGCAAGAAGGTTTGCTGTGTCTGTCAGCGTAGTGTCCAGAGCATGGAGGCACTACCAGGAGACAGGCCAGTACATCAGGAGACGTGGAGGAGGCCAAAGGAGGGCAACAACCCAGCATCAGGACCGCTACCTCCGCCTTTGTGCAAGGAGGGACAGGGCCCTGCAAAATGACCTCCAGCGGGCCACAGATGTGCATGTGGCTTCTCAAATGGTCAGAAACAGACTCCATGAGGGTGGTATGAGGGCCCGACGTCCACAGGTGGGGGTTGTGCTTACAGCGCAGCACTGTGCAGAACGTTTGGCATTTGCCAGAGAACACCAAGATTGGCAAATTCGCCACTGGCGCCCTGTGCTCTTCACAGATGAAAGCAGGTTCACACTGAGCACGTGTGACAGACGTGACAGGGTCTGGAGACACCGTGGAGAACGTTCTGCTGCCTGCAATATCCTCCAGCATGACTGGTTTAGCAGTGGGTCAGTAATGGTGTGGGGTGGCATTTCTTTAGGGGGCCGCACAGCCCTCCATGTGCTCGCCAGAGGTAGCCTGACTGCCATTAGGTACTGAGATGAGATCCTCAGACCCCTTGTGAGACCATATGCTGGTGTGGTTGGCCCTGGGTTCCTCCTAATGCAAGACAATGCTAGACCTCATGTGGCTGGAGTGTGTCAGCAGTTCCTGCAAGACGAAGGCATTGATGCTATGGACTGGCCCACCCATTCCCCAGACCTGAATCCAATTGAGCACATCTGGGACATTATGTCTCGCTCCATCCACCAATGCCACATTGTACCACAGACTGTCCAGGAGTTGGGGGATGCTTTAGTCCAGGTGTGGGAGGAGATCCCTCAGGAGACCATCTGCCACCTCATCAGGAGCTTGCCCAGGTGTTGTAGGCAGGTCATACAGGCACGTGGAGGCCACACACACTACTGAGCCTCATTTTGACTTGTTTTAAGGACATTACATCAAAGTTGAATCAGCCTGTCGTGTTTTTTTCCACTTTAATTTTGAGTGTAACTCCAAATCCAGACCTCCATGGGTTGCTAAATTTGATTTCCATTGATAATTTTTGTGTGATTTTGTTGTCAGCACATTCAACTATGTAATGAACAACGTATTTAATATTTCATTCATTCAGATCTAGGATGTCTTATTTTTGTGTTCCCTTTATTTTTTTGAGCAGTGTATTTTCCTGAAAATATGACTCAGCTCCTTTGAGGACCTTCCCAAGTTCATGTTCATGCATATACAGAAGACAATTGAGAAGAATTGTTCTGGGAAGAGCTTCAAATTCACTGTACTGAACCTTTAAAATTGTAGGCAGTTTGATACTCCAAGAGACACCCCCCTGCATTATCCACGCAGTTCTAATACACACAGCAGATGAAGCATTATCAACTATTTAAACTATTACATACATTTGCTCAATATACTGTAACAATTCCATGTTTAGTGATTTGTACTAAAGTAAGTATTTTGTATGAGTACAGTCAATTTCAATAATCTACCTTAGATGTGCATTTTTATTTGATGACGCACCCTGCAATATACTAAATGAAAAGATGATATATACCGTACTTACAACTATTGATAGGGTGATGGTGGTATTAGGTTCTCCTAAATGAAATAAGTTAACTAAATCTATTACAAATCAACTTTATCAGCAGCATATTATCAGCTATTTTGCCTATTTAACTTATTATCAGCCACTTAATCAAGTTAAGTAAGCTGGAACAAGATTTGACCTTACAATTTTATCACGGCTCCACACTTTTCTTGAGAAATTCTTCCTTCCTTCCTTCCTTTACAAGGTAATTCTGGAGCTTTTGACAATAGCGTGGCTGTGTATTGTTCCTCAACCTGGGTTCTGTTCCTATTTATGGATTAAACTTTCAGAATTTTGAGGAGTAGATTGGTCCATATATCTGGAGGACATCCAAATTGGGGAAGACTAACCTATAATATCACTCTATCTTATCTCTGCTATTCAAGTTTATATAAGGAAATGCTGAAGATAATCCTTCAGGCTATTGGCTTTGATGCTCTTAATACATAGGTGATAGCTAAACCTTTCTTTCCCACTTTTACCACATTACAAAGAAGTTAGGGAAACTGGATATGTAGGCTGCAAACTAAAGCCTAAGTCAAACAAGCTAGGAATACCATTAGTTCAGGAATTCTTATTCAAGGTTGGATGGGGTAGAATCCCTCTTGAAAGCTCAGGTTCATAGTTTGACCTTGAATCTTTGATCTGGCAGTGAACTTATAGTACATGGTTTTATGTAATTTTATAATTGTGTTGTGCCAAGCCTCCTGCAACCTACCCCATCCTGGTCGGCCCACACCTCTGGTGATTACAGAGAATGAGGTGCAAGGTCTATTTTATAGACAAAAGTCAGGACATGCACCAGGTCCTTCTTCCTTAAAAGCTTGTGCTGACCAACTGGCCCCCATCTTCACCTGCATCTTTAATAAATCACTAGAAATGTGCTATGTTCCTTCTTGCTTCAAATGCTCTACTGTCATCCCAGTGCCAAACACACCTTCCATCAAGGAATTGAATTATTTCAGACCAGTTGCTCTAACATCTGTAGTTATGAAAACTGTTCTGACCCAAGCCTTGTTCAAATCAAACAAATACAAATTGTTCATAAAACAAACCTCTTTTACTGCAGCGTTGTGAATTCTATGTATTCACAGCCAAGAATCATTTCAAACTAATTGTCCCAGATAAGAGCAACCCTTTCAAGGTTGCGAAAGGCTGCCAAGAACAAAAGACTAATTGCAAATAAATATCCCAAACCAGAACTGGAGGATGAGAACTCTGAGCATAAAGAACTTCTTTGCTTCCTGCAAAGAAGCCAACCGCGAAGGCTGGCTTTTATCCCTTAAGAGGGGCCATGACCTTCCAGCCTTACTCCTAAGTCGCCTGCCCTGTGCTGCTTCAGCTGCTCTTTCCTTCGAGCAGCCCTGCACGTATGCGCACAGGCTTCCCAGGTCCCTCTTCGTCACTGCTGCCAGACTCCACAACCTCCGAAGGCGGCACTCCACTCTCCGATAGTCCTGGCCCCATCCCTGCATCACATGCAGGCTCCTCGTCTGAGTCCTCGCTGTCAGAGACCTCAGCTGTCTGCACTTGCTGCCAGCGAACCACAACAAAGACCTTTGAAAGACTAGTGCTGGCCCACCGGAAAACAATCATGGATCCACTATTAGTGTTAGGGTTTGGGAATTAACCCCTAGCAGAGTATTGCAGCAGTAGTCAAGCCAGGCAGCCA